ATAAAGTTAAAGCTACAGTGTCTTCATATGTTACGAAGAGAAATCCTCTGCAGTTATGAATGCAATTATACATCTAATAATATTGCATAAGATTGGGGCTGCATTTAAATTTGTGTTCATTTTGACTTTCCCAGAACAAAAAGAGAAGAATGCCTCCCATGAACCTTGCACTTCAGCTTTATTCTATCTACTTGAAAATATTTCTAGAAATGCAGCTTTTGACATACTTTCATACAAATAGAGGGAACTGTTTTATATGTTTGATTTTGTGTTCTCTTTTTCAGGTTAATCTCGAAAAGCAAAATTAGTTTGTCAAAGTTCCCCCCCCTTCTCCACTTTCCCCTCCCCCCTTCCCCCCTTCATTTGTGAAGCATGAAATTAATGTTCTGTGATTTATAGCCATCTCCACCTGTCACCTTTTAGATTGAATACAAAATACAAATTTTGTAGCAGTTCTGTTTGTTTGATGTAAAATCCCCCTGGGCATGAACAATATTGCATTTCAGAACTCAATAGCTCCCTCTTGATTACTGCAATAAAATAGAATTTGCATATTTAAAGGAATCATACAGCAGTTCTAGTAATCCTTGTATCTGCCCAGTTATCAAGCAATGTTTTTTTTAAAAAAAGGATATTGTGGCAAGCCATCTGTGCTAATTTTGATTTATTTATAAAATTGATAGTCTAAAGGTCTCCTTTTTAAATTAGATCCCAAAACAAATCGAATTGTTTTGCTCTCAAATTGCACATTCAAATCTTTCTTTCTTCAAATTGTCAGTCTCCAGTTTGAATTGAATCAGAGCTGATTGGCAAAACCCGAATAGAGAAACCTTTTGATGCTTCCTTGCATGCTCACAAAAGCTTCTGCCTTTTAATAAAATGTACACATGAGAAAAAAGTTCTACCAGATTCCTCCTGATTTTTGGCTTCCAAAGATACATACCAATGCCTTACTACAGGGGTGTCAAACTCAATTTCATTGAGGGCTGCATCAGCATTGCGGTTGCCCTCAGGGGGCTGGGTGGGTGTGGCCAGGGTGGGTGCGGCCTACTGGGTGTGGCCTACTGGGTGGGTATGGGAGTGGGTGTGGGGGATAGATCTGAGGGTCTCTGGCAGAAGGGGGTGGGACCGGGGCAAGTGCCAAGGGGTCCACTGGAGGATCTCAGGCCATGCGGGGGGGGGGGGGGCTTATGGAGCTAAGACTGAATGCATTTCAGCATAGATGGCCACCACAAAATTGTACATTGGCTCCCAGCTGGCCTGGGCCAGGGCCAAGGCAGCGGGGGCCGTTCCCTCACTTTTTCCAGGATGGCTTCGCGGGCCACATGAAACCACTTTGCGGGCCGCATCCGGCCTCTGGGCCTTGTGTTTGACATGTCTGCCTTACTACATTGCCTGCTGTTTGCTAATGATGGGCCTACCTAAGCTGCAAATCCATTAAAAAAAGCAGTGTTTTTCAACCTTGGCAACTTTAAGATCTTTAAAATTCCCAGCATTCCCCAGCCTACATGGTCCGTTGGAGAATTCTGGGAGTTGAAGTCCACACATCTTAAAGTTACCAAGGCTGAGAAAAACATTGCAAAAAGATAATGTTTCTTTTAAGGTAGAAAAGAGAAGCAATAAAAAATGCCTGCCAAGCATTTTTTGAGGTTTTTTTTTTCAAACAAAAATTAAAAAGAGCTGAGGTTACAGCTCAAGGCTGGGGTGTGCCCTTGTGATTTTTAAACAGAAAGGAAAACAACCCACTCAGACAGGAACAAGGCTGTTCCAGACTTTTCTTTGTCAGCTTCAGAAAACATTTCACTTTTTTGAAAGATATAAGTATGTGAGCTTCTCAATTTTTAGAGAATAGTGGTTTGCTGAATTGATAATGGTAAGAATAAAAATGGGTGTTTTTTTGTCCCTAGATTACTATTCTTCCAAAAAGGAGAAAATGCATTAATCTTCAGATTATAGATTCATCGATAACCCTCTCATAGTTTGTCCAACCTTGGCTCTTTTATGACTCATGGACTTTAACTCCCAGAATTCCTGAGCCAGCCATGCTGAGGGGGAAGGGAGATGTTTCCAAGCTAAGCCATGCTGGCTCAGGAATTCTGGGAGTTGAAGTCCACGAGTCATAAAAGAGCCAAGGTTGCCTACCCCTTGTCTAGATCTTCATTTGAAATGCTAAGGCGCTCTTCCCTCCTTCTCTGCTGCAGATATTTTAGTCTATATGGACTATTGCCATCTCCCCCATTTTGTTTCCCTCCTGATTTTACCTGAACCACAAATGACATTTTATCCATTTCTTCCTGCATTCAGACTAATAAAAAATAGAGCTGCTGCTTTTTAATAACATGACTGCAAATGGAATTATAAATCAACCAAATTATAGCAGGACATGTTAATAGAGGTATTTCCCTTTCCAATGAATCATTTGTAGCTCTTTCAGTACGTGCTGAAACCTCACACAATTTACTTTATGTAAATTTATGTACCATTAGAATCCAATAATTCCTCGTGACTTACATAAAAACTATGAAACACTCAAAGCCAAGCCGTTTACAAACGTACGTTCAGGCCTGTCAAATGATGTCCACCAGAGATTATCATCATCTGTATGCTCTAGGCACGATCTTGAAAACTGAAGCTGCATTTCACTGAGACCATTTACATTTTCCTATGTGGCTACTTCTAAAATAAACTCTGGATCACCGATAAGAGGTTTTCCTATATTTTCCTCTCCCCGTAGGGAGAAAAGTGGATGACATCTCATGCTACCAGATTTCCTTTCTTGGTGTATTATATATACACCATAGATACAAGAAAGAAGAATTTGTGGAAAAACATCTGAGGGTTACAGGATGGAGTCATTGAATTTCCCAGAAATTTCTCTGGCAGGGCATCTTCTAGGAACAAACATATAAGCCTCCTTTTGTCAGCAGTTTTCATACCCAACAAAGTATGGAAACAAAATGGGAAGATGTAACTCTGGAAGGAAAAGAGACATACAACAGCCATTCAGAAATTCTGCCATATTGAGGCGGAGGATGGTTGAGGGAGAGGGGGTTAGATTGGTTCTGGATTCCGTCAAATTGTTCCAGGCAAAGCCAATGGCCCAGCTTCTAGATCAGGGGTGGGGAACCTTGGCTCTTTTATGACTTGTGGACTTCAACGCTGGCTCAGGAATTCTGGGAGTTGAAGTCCACAAGTCATAAAAGAGCCAAGGTTCCCCACCCCCTGTTCTAGATGATACACAATTGCACCCTAACTCTAATTATAGAATGTTTAAATCACTACCGGTACAATCTAAATATTTCAGATGGAACCTGGTATTGCCTTGTCCAACTAACATATTTTATTGGAAAACATAAGCTTTGATGATCTGCAGCTCACTTTATCAGATGGATGGAGTAGCTAGATTAATGCAGGATGTCAGCAATGGGCCTCTAGATTCTGCATAGGACAAGTGGGACAAACTTTGCACAAAAGAAATAATGAACACCAATTTGACCTCAGGGCTCCAAACAAGGACAAAGTACTGTAATATCAGAATATTCCAGCATTTCTGGAAAAGTATTTTAACAGCATCCTTGAGCATAAGATTGCTAAAGCCGCATCAAAAGGTTTCAGGCTAGCTCAAAAGATCTCAACAAACACAATGGATTTTTAATATAGTACAATTGTTAATTGAAATAATAATAATAATAATAATGGTAATAATAATAATAGAGTTGGAAGGGACCTTGGAGGTCTTTCCTGCTCAGGCAGGAAACTGTACACCATTTCAGATAAGTGGTTGTCCAGTCTCTTCTTAAAAACTTCCAGTGCTGGACCATTCACAACTTCTGGAGGCGGGTTGTTCCACTGATTAATTGTTCTAACTGAAAGAATCTTTTTACAATGTTCAGTGGACTTTTACATACATAGCTCTTTTTACAAATAATAAAGTCAATCAATATTAAAAAATAGAGAATTCCTGGAATCAAGCATGACCCATGAAGACTCTACAGACCACATTTAGGTTTCCTTTTCCTGACTTACTTAGCATGGGCTACAGATCTAATCTTGGGTAGCTATTTTTGTGATCTGACAAAATCATAATTAAAAGCTCAAAGATGCCACCATAATCACTCATTTCCAACCTGCTGACCCTAAAACATCAAGATTAAATGGAACATACCAACTTTTTCTAAGCTTGTTTAGCTGTTTTCAAGATTAGCCAAACTCTTGACTGTAGAAATCAACATATTACCAATCTGTCATAATTTCTTGATGGACGTTGTAAGCCACACCCTAGAAGTATGGGTGTCATGTAGATATCTCATAAATGATAGAGTCAATATTTAATAAAGGACATACAGCATAACAATAACCTGACAGAAGAGGCAATAAGAGTAAAAATACTAAATGGAAGAAAGATGTTAGACACTACATTACTGAAATTCTCCCATAGGGAAGGTAACTTTTCTTAAGGGCTATTTATTTATTTATTTATGAGACTTATATACCGCTTTAAGTGCAAGCACTCTCTAAGCGGTGTACACCAGTAAGCAATGTATATATATATTTACATTGCCCCCAACAATCTGGGTCCTCATTTTACCTATCCCGGAAGGATGGAAGGCTGAGTCAATTCTGAGCCGGTGAGATTTGAACCGCTGACCTGCTGAACACAGTCAGCTAAAGTGACCTGCAGTACTGCACTCTAACTGCTGCGCCACCTCGGCTCATCATGTTTGAAAGATAACGATGGGAACCTCTTTCCCAGTTCAGATTAACCTGAATGTATGGGAAAAGGGGTGGAAATGGAGAAGTTAGTCAGGTACCATCCATATTTGACTTGAACTTGGGAGCTAATCCCTGTCCTTCCTAATGGAACTCCTGAACCCCCAAATACGAGCTTTCCAATTAAAGTATGATTCTTACCTGTGCTGTTGGGTTTTCTTTTAGCAGGTTGACGTTGAAGTATATCGCAGAGATTCCAAGAAGCTCCCAGGTTTGGGAGATCCTGATATTGATTGGGAGGAGAGCGTCTACTTGAACCTTATACTGCAGAAGGTGACTTCAGTCTTTCTCTTCTCCAAAGCTTGCTGCCATTAGGAGAGGGGGATGCCTGCAATTTGTGGGGTATTTAAGAATAAAAATGGTACCTTAGCTTAAATCTGCATGATCTATCAATCAGTCGGTCATTTCCAGACTTCCCATCTCTTTAAACCTGTAGTAAGGCTATCTGTTCCTCAGCAGTTTCAGCTTGACTAAAGAGACTACATGCAGGCCGATGATCCTATAGCACAGTGGTTCTCAACCTTTCTAATGCCGTGATCCCATAATACAGTTCCCCATGTTGTGGTGACCCCGAAGTGGGTGTGGCCACCAATAAGAGGGAGTAGGACAGCTAGGGAAAAGGGAAAAAAATGGCGGGCAGCGTGGTTTGGCGACCCCCATGAAATGGTCGTTCGACCCCAAATGGGGTCCCGACCCACAGGTTGAGAACCACTGCTATAGCAGTGCAGAATGGATAAGGATACTATGGTGTCATTCATTATCTCCTGGACAAGGCAGCCACTTGGAGTGGGGTACCGGAGTGAAAAAAAACTAGACTGCTTTTTTTTTAATTGTCAGTCTTAAATTACCTTTGTTGTTACGAATCAAAGTGCCAGACATCACACGCTCCTTTGGGGTTTTGTTTCATTTCCAGGGGTTGTAATGATTTATAGAAAGTTGCCCTGCTGTTGGCTTTTCTTAAAAAAAAAAATAAAATGTTATATTGTTGTTTCAGATTGGATTTTAATTTGCGATTGTGTTCTGTTCTTGAAACTGAAACGCTGCAATCAAATTCTTGCAATAAGCCAACAGCATAAATAAATCTGTTTTTCTGAAAGCGTCTGAAGTATTTCAATGTATTAGGTAGGGGACAAAAGTGAGCAAACCCTTTGGACGATTCTGACTTCTAGAATCCAAAGTGGACAGGACCAGAATATTTGGAACTTTGCTTGTGGGGACGACGCAAGAAGTGTTTAAGCTTCATGTTGCCCCTACCTCTTAATTTTTTCCTCTCCTTTGTCTAGTCCCAGCTCCAGGAATTATTAGATTAACCAACAGCCCTTCAGTTTAAATTTGAAAACATATTTTTATTTTATAGGATTAAAGTGTACACCACTTGTTAGATTTCTATTCCACCTTTGAGGGATTACTTATTTATAAGGTTGCTGAACAATGGTATGGTATTTTCCTAGGGAAGAGTTTAAACATATTCTTTTCTTCAAAGACTATTGATATAATTTAAACCAGGGGTTCTCAACCTTGGCAACTTTAAGACTTGTGGACTTCAAAGCTGGCTGAGGAATTCTGGGAGTTGAAGTCCATAAGTCTTAAAGTTGCCAAGGTTGAGAACCCCTGATTTAAACGGTCCAGTTCCTTGGTCTCTTAATATCTCAGGAAAATAACTGTTCAGTGAGTTTGCAGAATTAAGATGAAAGACAACTAACTAATCAAATTACCAAGTGCTGAATCTGCTGGCCTCCATGGAATCCCTCTTCCATAACTTTGAGTTTTTCTTATCCTTTGCCTGCTTTAAAGGAATCTTCTTTTTATGCTCTTCTCTCATCTAGAAGCCACATTGTAATGGCCTAAAGCAGTGTTTCTCAACCTTGACAACTTAAAGATGCCTCATTAAGAGAAAGCTTAGGGGATACCTAGTAGCAGTCTTCCAATATTTGAAGGGCTGCCACAAAGAAGAGGGGGTTGACTTATTTTCCAGAGCACCCAAGGACAGGATAAAAAGCGACAGATGGAAACTCATCAGACTCAATCTGGAAATGAGGAATTTCCTGACAGCGAGAACGATTAATCAATGGAACAGCTTGCCTCCCAGAGTGATGGGTACTCTGTCTGTGGATATTTTCCAGAAAAGATTGGACAACCATTTTTCCATGATGAAATAACGATTCCTGCCTCCAATCACACAACCAATCTCTGTGGTTGTATGATTCTATGAAGATGTGTGGAACTCAACAGCCAGAATTTCCCAGGGGGAAGAGTTGAAGTCCACACACCTTGGTAATTGAAGTCCTCACATCTGGGAGTTAAGGTCCACACATCTTAAAGTTGCCAAGGTTGAGAAACACTGGCCTAAATAATTTTATGTGTAGGGGTGGCTGGGATTTCTCTTGGTGGTTTGCTGAGCAATAGAGCAGGAAGAAGGATTCACTCCCCATTCATCAGTTGAACTATGCAATGCTCAGATGGATGCAGGACAGAAGGAGTAGGCTGAGCCAAAGGAGAAAAAAAAAACCCTGAAAGTTTTTTGAGAAAGTTTTACATGCACACAGATTAGGAAAAGAAGGTTGGAAGAAGGAATGATGGAGAGATAAGAGGTCATAGATCCAAGAAGAGGCAAGAGCTATGGAAAATCTAGATGAAGCAGCAGGTGACCTGTAGGATTGCATTGACCTTTAGTTGCAATTGAACATGAAACCTGACAAGAAAGAATCTGACTTCTATTGTGAAATAGCTTCAGAGTATGTCATTAAATGAAAACTGAAGGATCTTCTATTTTCTATTGGGCATCTGGACATGTACACAGAGGAAAACCTAATGAGAAATCTGATATCTGATGGGCGTTTCATTACCAATACTTTGATTTTCTTTCAGCTGGATTATGTAGTGACGTGTGCGGTATGTACTCGTTCAGATGGAGGGGATATTCACATCCATAAAAAGAAATCCCAGGTGAGCAACTCTGCAATGTGGGAACTTTGAAGTGTGTCTCCTCCTTTGGGCTTCAGCCTTTGCCCCATTTCCCCCCCCCCCCATGAACTTATATTATGGGTTTTTTTTAATTTTTATTTTTAACCAACAAAACAAAACAAAACAAAGCAAAACACAACACACATACACACACAGTATATACTTCCCCTTTTTCTTAACAGCAATTAAGTAACGATAATCTTCTATTATTTACATTTCTCCTCTTATTCTTCTTTAGAATATTTGTCCTTATTGCCCCATTGTTTCTTGTTTACATTTTTCTTCCTTCATATTCTACTTCTTACTAAGAATAATTCATATTATTATTATTATACATTATTATACACATATTTTCACTTTTGACCTTTCCATATTTTTTCTCCTCTATTATTTCTAGTCTCCAACCAGTCATACCACTTGTTCCATGTTACATATATTATGGTTTTCTTATACAGCTCAAGTAGTTTTTAATCAGCCCCAGACATAACCCCAGAACAGCCTTGAGGAGAATTTCAAATGGCTTAGTAAAAATTCCCCTAATCAATTTGTCAATACACATTCATCAAATTAATCCCTCCTCTTCTTCTGCTTCCCACTTCCTCAAGCCAGACCCTTCATACTGTTCCCAAGTCAACAGGGTGACTGAAAGAAATTAGGGGAAAAGGTTCAGGATTCTGTCTGCCTATCAATCTGCAGGATAACCTCCCCAAACTGAACAGAGCACAACCACGTTTGCAGTGTGTGTGTGTGGGGGGGGGGAGCCAGCAAAAAGAAACACCTAGTTTGAAAATGGGCTGAATCCAGCTTGGAGTTTATCAGAAAATTGATCTTGATGGGACTGCTGCATTTCAAGCCCTCTTCCCTCCTGGCCATGTGACCCAGTATTAAGGTGACCAACTTTTTTACAATGAAAAGGAGGACACAAATAAATTGAAGAAAAAAATATCATAAATAAAAGAAACGTTTTATTCATTGCAACAATAATACAGACAACTTGCATGTGCAAAGTTTGCCAATCGGGTGTTTTGGCGCGCTCAACAGCAATTCCTATTGGCTTTCGAAAGCCAATAGTGGGAGTAGCATAGCTCATGCAAAAGCTGAAAAAAAAACCCATCAAAAAAAGGTGCCAGAATGCCATTCTGAGCATTCTATGAGGGAAAAAAAGCCATGCAGATTAGTCTTCAAATATCGAAAAGGAGGACATGTGGGAGGACACTTTTTGAGGGAGGACAGAACTTACAAAAGGAGGACTGTCCTCCGGTTGGTCACCTTACCAGTATGGAACATATAATCCCTCTTTGTGCTTCCCCATCAGAACATAGACACTTGGACCCAAAACACAGGGAGAATAGAAATGCACACATACATAGATGCAATCCTTTGTTACCCAGAAGAGTATACTAGAGGCCTAACCATTGTTGGTAAAGGGTCTGGGAGGACTTGAAGAAGCCCAGTTTTACAAGTTTGCTACTCCTTCCAAGTCGATGGGATATGGAAGGATCCAACATTCTGTCTGTCACTAGGATAACTCTCTAAAAATAAAATAGAACGGGATCCGCTTTACTGTAACTGGAGAAGATGGCAAAAGGATTGAGTTGAAAATGTGGTGGATTCCTCTGGGGTCTTCAGAGAACGTTTCCCCAGATTTCTTCCTTCATATCCTTGTGGAAAAGGCAGGTGGGCAGGGGTTCCAGATGTTGGCAACTCCTCCTTTCTAAGCCCAAGCTTCCATTAAAAGGATGGGAAGAATGCCAGAAGACACATTCTGAAGGGTAGCATCTCTTGATCTATCCTTGGAGGATCCAGGTTTACAATCTTATATGATCTTGGATTAAAGCGTTTGATATTTCTGTCGGTGTCAGTAATGCTTTACAGTTTTTTTTTAAAGTCCAATTGAACAGCATATCTACCATTGATTCTTAAGAAGCAGTAACTGTGGGACTTTTTAAATTTGCTCAATTTTTGGGTAAATTCAATGCCCACATAGTTTACTATTCTATTCTATCTACTCAGCAAGTTGAAAATGCAGAATTCTGAATTTTGTTGTGAAATCTGCTTGTCTCTCAATTACAACTTTTAAAAAGTGAAGCTTTATTCTTCCATGATTGAGATGATTAAATAAAAGTAAAAACAAATAACACAATTCCTGCAGATTCTAGAAATCCACAAAACCTGCATTAAATTCACCCTAAATCTGAATACCAATTGAGAATAAAAACACAGAACAAATTTAGGGGTACAAAGACAAAACAAATTCAGGAAGTCAGTGAAATTTAATAGCAACCTTGGTGTGTACAATTTATAATTTCAATAACACTAGCAAGTTGAGTGAAGCAGCATTTATCTCTTCTCTTTTACATTTACATTTTTTTTTCATCTTCCTTGAGAGTGGAAAACTATGCCAAACAACCACCTACAGAATCATACTTCTGCACTTCATGAGTTGGACTGCAGCTTCTATAGGTATAAAAGGGACGATATCACAATAATATTGTGTACCACGTGTCAGTGCATAAATAGTACTGTTGCATAATTTGTGTCAACTTGCACCAGCATTTCCTTCTCCGACTAGTGGTCATAGCTCAGGGGTAGGCAACCTTGGCTCTTTTATGACTCGTGGACTTCAACTCCCAGAATTCCTGAGCAAGCCATGCTGGCTCAGGAATTCTGGGAGTTGAAGTCCACGAGTCATAAAAGAGCCAAGGTTGCCTACCCTTGTCATAGCTGAACATCCTACTATGTCAGTGGTTCTCAACCTGTGGGTCGGGACCCCATTTGGGGTCGAACGACCATTTCACAGGGGTCACCAAACAACGCAGTCCGCCATTTTTTCCCCCTTTTCCTTAGCTGTGCTACTCCCTTTTATTCTATTGGCTTTTGAAAGCCAATAGAATAGACTCTCTTGAATAGAGTCTAATTCTATTGGCTTTCAAAAGCCAATAGGAATTGTCCAGGCTGTCTCTGCCCTGCTGAGCCCGCCAAAAGTCCCATTCTGCAAACGGTGCTGCACCAGTTGAGTAGTCCTCGACTTACGACCGGTTGAGTAGTCCTCGACTTACGACCGGTTGGGGGTCGCGGCATTAAAAAGGTTGAGAACCACTGTACTGTGTATATATATTGCAAGCTATATCATATTTTCCAAATGGTCTTTTCCAGCAAGTCTTTGCATCTCCAAGTAAACACCCCATGGACAGCAAGGGCGAGGAATCGAAGATTAGCTATCCAAATATATTTTTTATGATTGACAACTTTGAAGAGGTAGGTCCTCTCTCAGAGTAGGTCCCTTATGTGGAAGAATGTAGAAGGTTTGGGACTATGTGTAATTGTAAAAATTAATTTCATATATAATAAAATAAATCTGATATAGAGATTAATTGAATGTGGACGTTTTTGGAATCCCATCTTATAAATAGATTTATAATACATCCAATGACTGTTTTTTTCCCTAACATAAGATAGTGAAACTCAATTTTTCATGATTTCTACAACATATCAAATTTTCCAGTTTAGAAAATATTACTGTAACGTCTTTATCTCAGTTTATAACTTACGACTTGAGTTATATTGGCAACAGTTGTTAATTATGCTGTTGTAATCTAACATTGGTATTCACTTAAAGCTTCAGACTGATATAAAGTATTTTAATATGCAGATTTATACCATTGTATAAATTACTTTGAAATTTTACAACATATTTTTAAAGGTCCTTTCTCTTTTTCTTTTTTCTGCTATTTTTTCCCGAATTGCATTTGCAGAATGATAATAATTCATTTTTAAAAAAAAAATAATGGTGCAATTAGTGCTGTTTAAGTCAGACATCTTTAGCTCTGTTTGCTTAGAATTTAAATTTATCCTTTTAAATTGACAGAAAACATTGATACATAAAGGTATTAAATCACTTACAGTTTGATGGAATATTAACTAAAAGCCTAATTTTTAAAATCCCCTACATTTTTGGGCTGCATCATGAAACTCTACTGGTTTTAGAGGCTTGGAAAAATGGTGCTTAAGATACGTTAAAATATCCTTTCTATTCCTAGTATTAATTCTGATTCTGAATTTGTTTTTTCCTCACATTGTTTCACTTATCTAAATGAATGCTTCTCAACCCTGATAGTTTTAATATATGTGGACTTCAACTCCCAAAATTCCTCAGATAGCATAGCTGGGAGTTAAAATCCTCTTAAAATTACCAAGTTTGAGAATCATTGATCTAAATAATCTTAGTGGTTTAGATTGCAGTAAATTATAAGAAATTGGGGTTTAGGGGTGTTTATAACTAATAAAACTACTTTTTAAAAATGGTCAGAAGATTCAGTGCCCCAGACTTTTTCCTGAGAATTTGGTTTCCTGGTAATAGACTCCTGCAGTGCTATTAAATCCCAGTTTTTCATTTGTGACTTAGCCATAGGCAATGACAAATGGCCTTGAGTTTCTCTGCCACTATTTATTTTTTTCCTTTGGTTTATTTGGATGTCTCGTTAGGTATTTAGTGACATGACTGTAGGGGAAGGCGAGATGGTTTGTGTGGAGCTGGTGGCCAGTGACAAAAGCAACACTTTCCAAGGCGTTATTTTCCAGGGATCCATCCGCTACGAGGCCCTTAAGAAGGTCTATGATAATAGGGTGAGTGTCCTTCAGATGGTGAGGTTGTCTGTTAGACAAAGATGAGCAACAAAGATGATTAGGGAACTGGAGGCTAAAACATATAAAGAACGGTTGCTGGAATTGGGTATGTCTAGTTTAATTAAGAGAAGGACAAGGGGGGACATGATAGCAGTGTTCCAATATCTCAGGGGCTGCCACAAAGAAGAGAGTTAGTCAAGCTATTCTCCAAAGCACCCAAAGGCAGGACAAGAAGCAATGAATGGAAATTAATCAAGGAGAGAAGCAACCTAGAACTAAGGAGAAACTTCCTGACAGTTAGAACAATTAACCAGTGGAACAACCTGCCTCCAGAAGCAGTGAATGCTCCAACACTGGAAATTTTTAAGAAGAGACTAGACAGCCATTTGTCTGAAATGGTATAGGTTTCCTGCCTGAGCAGAGGGTTGGACTAGATGACTTCCAAGGTCTCTTCCAATTTTATTATTATTATAAATAACATGGGGACAACCAGAAAGGCTTTCTTGCCTGTGTGTAGAGCAGGACTTGGAAGCCTACTTTTAGTAACAACAGGGAAAGAAGGACCTTGCTGTTCTCCATTACTCCTCAGATCATTTCACCTGTTTCAACAAGACAGTGATTCCTCCATTGATCAAGATGGGAGAAAACAGTTTTGTTATCCAGATGCTAAATACCAGGTCAGATCAGGGTAGCTTTCTGTAGCACAGATGGCACAGTCCACAATTAAAGTTCTCTTAATATTACTTTTTGTAATATTGTAATATTGAAAGTCCGCAAGGCTGAGGATTGAATGTGGGCAAATTTGCTGATCACTGTTGGAGAGTTGATCGTACCTTTCTTTAGGACATGATCTCCCGTAATGGTAACCAAGGCAGATCCAATGCCCTACTTGGAGAAAATGGAATTAAAAGAGGTCTATGCAATTCATGTCAATGATGTAGTGCAGTGATGGCGAACCTTTTAGAGACTGAGTGCCCAAACTGCATCCCAAAACCCACTTATGCATTGTCGAGTGCCGGGTGGGTGTGGCCCATTGGCTGGGTGTGGCCTATTGGCTGGGCGTGACTGCGGTGGTAACGGCAGACTGGGTGGGACTAAAAAGTTCAATCAATTCCAACTTTGCAAGATCTTTTTTTTCCCCGTGAGAAGTTGAAATTGACTCATTGAACTTTTTTTTTTTTTTTTTGCACACGGCGGTGGAGGCCTAAAGCGAAAAGGTTTTATAAAACCCAGCTGAAGGCCTAGGACTGGGGTGACGGCATGCGTGCCCACAGAGAGGGCTCTGAGTGTTGCCTCTAGCATCCGTGCCATAGGTTCGCCACCACTGATGTAGTGGCTTGAATTTTAACTACCTTTTGCAGGTGAGCGTGGCAGCCAAAATGGCCCAGAGGATGTCCTTTGGTTTTTATAAATACAATAATATGGAGTTTGTGCGTATGAAGGGGCCTCAGGCCAAAGGACACGCGGAAATGGCGGTGGGTCGCATTTCCACGGGTGACACATCTCCTTATGGCACAGAAGAAGATTCAAACCCAGGCTCACCGCTGCATGAGCGAGTAAGTTAACTTTGTTAATGACATTCCCTTTTTTTTTTCTCCTTTCACAAGCCACATGAAAGAATAAAGTACGTTATTAGAGACAGCGCACCATGCTGTGTCACGCGTGTTTTTGCCATTTGTGGCAATTTGGGTTGGCCTTGAGCAGAGCGTCAGATTAAAATCCAGGGCAAGGGGGATATTAAAAGCTGTTTTTCAGAAGAGTGGAAGCCGATGGCTTGATTTTATGAGCAAAAATTTCAGCATGCTGTTCAGTTCCACTACGACAGCTGAGAAAGACCAGGTCTTATTATTATTATTATTTTGCCTCCAAAAGAGGCACCAGGTCTTATTTTTGGGGTAGACCTTACCTCACCTCCGGCACCAACAGCCCCACCCAGCCGGTCCACTTCTTCTGGGGCCGATGTTCTGTAGCTGCATTCGGGCCTGCATTTTGTAGTCAGGCCTTTCCAGAAGGCCTAAGCAGCCGAGTACCGAGCGATGGATTCCATCCATAGCTTGGTGCTCGGCTGCTGAGGTTTTGCAGAACCCAACTATGGATTGAATCCATAGCTCGTTTCTTGGATGCACAGGCCTTCCGGAAAGCCGTGTGACTGAGAAATGCAGGTCAGGCTGCAGAAGAGGCCTCAGAAGAAGTAGTGGGCCGGCAAGGAGAGGCCTGATTGCAAGGTAAGTGGGTACGGGGCAGGTGGGGCAACTCCACCCCCTCCACCCCTGCCCTTGCTTGATTTTTAGGTGTATGCCTCACCCCCTAGGGTAGGGGTAGGCAATCTTGGCTCTTTTATGACTTGTGAACTTGAACTCCCAGAATTCCTGAGCCAGCATGGCTCAGCTTGGAAACCTCTCCCTTTCCCCTCAGCATGGCTGGCTCAGGAATTCTGGGAGTTGAAGTCCACGAGTCATAAAAGAGCCAAGATTGTCTACCCCTGCCCTAGGGCTTATTTTAGGCCCACCCCCCAAAAATCAAGCTAGGGCTTATTGTTGGTGTAGGCCTTATTTTGAGGGAAATACAATAGTAACAGGGTTGTTAAGTTAATCTGGCTTTACCATGACTTTGCTTGTCAGAAGGTCACAAAAGGTGGGCACATGACTCCGGGACATTGCAACCGTCATAAATATGAGTCAGTTGCGAAGCACCTGAATTTGGATTCACATGATCATGGGGATGCTGCAGTGGTCATAAGTGTGAAAAATGGTCCTAAGTCACTTTTTTCAGTGCCGTTATAACTGAGCGGTCATTAAATGAACGGTTGTAAGTTGAGGACTACCTGTATTGAATAGCAAGAGCACTTAGACTAATATACGACTTCGTAGTGCTTTACAGAGCCAGCATTTTGCCCCCAACAATCTGGGTCCTCATTTTACCGACCTCGGAAGGATGGAAGGCTGAGCCAACCTTGAGCCGGTCAGGATCGAACTGCCGGAAGTCGGCAGAATTAGTCCACAATGCTGCATTCTAACCGCTGTGCCACCCTGGCTCTTACCATCAAAGACAATCAGTATACATCTCAGTTGCTTCTCACCTGTTGCTGTTTCTCTCCCCTTCTTAGGTCACGTCCTTCAGCACCCCTCCAACTCCAGAACGCAACAGCCGCCCTTCCTTTTTCTCCCCATCGCTCAAGAGGAAAGTGACCCGAAATCGAATTGCAGAGATGAAGAAATCCCATTCAGCCAACGACAGTGAGGAATTCTTTCGGGATGACGAAGATGGAGGTGCGAGCATTAGGGAGAACCCTTCGGTGGAAACCTGGGGTCTCAGCTGCTGGGGAGGGCACCACCCTTTCTTTAGCATTACGCTAAAGGGCTGTGAGTCAGGAAGGAGGGAACGAGACGAATGGGTGGGCAGACATTTCTGCTTTTTGCATTTGGCTTGTTGAAAGGGTCTCGACGTGCTTTTGGTTTGTTTCCCAGTGAAAATGGGGAAGAAATCAAACTATCCACATTCAATGTGCGCTGAGAGATTCTCAGAACCACCCGAAATATTCTGGTATGGCTAAATCAGATTTGGAGTTGGTAAATTCAAGGATAGGATGGGATCTATCTATCTATCTATCTATCTATCTATCTATCTATCTATCTATCTATCATCTATCTATCATCAGATTTGTACACTGCCTCACTCTAGTTGTCCAGATTCTGTGAAGAAAATGGTAGTCATGTTAGGAAATTGATCTTTAGGCAGAGTATTATCTGTTTATAACAACAACAACAACAATAATAATAATAATAATAGAGTTGGAAGGGACCTTGGAGGTCTTCTAGTCCAACCTCTGCTAGGCAGGAAACTCTATACATTTCAGACAAATAGCTGCCAGTCTCTTCTTAAAAACTTCCAGTGTTGGAGCACTGGACAGCCATTTGTCTGAAATGGTATAGGGTTTCCTGCTTGAGCAGGGGGTTGGACTAGAAGACCTCCAAGGTCCCTTCCAACTCTATTATTATTATTGTTATTGTAAATAAAGCAAGTTGCTGTTACATATGACAGTGAACTGAAGGGCTGGGATTTGACCTTTGCCCTCAGTGGTGATGTCCTTTATATGAGAGTATCTGGGGCTACTGGTCACGGGTGTCCCATTGACCTGGTCTGATTCATTAAGGCAATGCATATGCATCAGTTTCCTTCCTGAAGTCAACTTTTCTCTGACAGATTTGCATAACGCAACAAACCTACGTTCCCGGTCGTTATCTGGAACTGGCCGTTCTCTTGTGGGTTCTTGGTTGAAGTTGAACCGAACGGATGAAAACTTCCTCCTCTATGCACACTTAACCTATGTCACTCTGCCTTTGCAACGGATTTTAACTGGTAAGGCTGCTCTGCTTTTCAATTCCTACCTTCTTAAAATTCCTTTGGTGTATCTCTTGGAATGAATGAAGAGAGAAGAACAATGGCGTTCGTTCTCTGCTTATCCACTGATAAGTTTGATAACCTTTCTCTTCCTTCCTTCCTTCCTTCCTTCCTTCCTTCCTTCCTTCCTTCCTTCCTATCTATTAAATCTCAGTGCATATTCTTAAATTTCCTGGAAATTGCCAAGAGCTCAATCAGTGGACAATCAGAAAATCAAAGCATGGGTATCCATTGCTGAGATCTTTCACTTTCAGACATTAGCATGCTTGGTGCAAATATGTGTGCATGCACAACTTGGTCTTCCTGTGAGTGAGAAACTATATTGGGAATGCCTTCAGATATTTTCAGGAACCAGGGTCTTAATCATTATTCCTGATGGACCTTTTGAAGTTCTAGTCCTAGCAAACCCATTCCTCTGATAGACAATCATCTGCCCTTGTTGGACTCCCATTATCTTCTCTGTCTCCATTGACTAGGGCACAGGTCGGCAACCTGCGGCTCTCTGGGCCTTCCCCTGTGGCTCCCAGCCTCCTCTGCCTTTGCAGAGAGAGACAGAGACAGAGAGAGGCAATTGCACGTCCCTGCTTCTCTCTCTCTCTCTCTCTCTGTGTGTGTGTCTGGGGTGTGTGTGTGTGTGTGGGGTGTGTGTGTGTGTGGGAGTGTCTGTGTGTGAGGGGGTGTAAAAGAGAGTGCACTCACAGTGTTCTCTGAGGAGCTGAAAAGCTTACTGGGTGGAGCTCCTCCCTTTGCTGCGTCTCTGCAGGAAGCAGGAAGGGCAGGAGAGAGCTAGCTAGCCCAGCTAGGCTGACTCAGGAATTCTGGGAGTTGAAGTCCATGAGTCATAAAAGAGACGAGGTTGCCTACCCCGAGCTTGTTGGACAACAGCTTGAAGCTTGCCAAGTGAGCAGCAGATAGGAGGGGGGGAGAAAGAGAGAGGGGAGGAGGGAGGGAGGGAGAGAGAGAAAGAAAGAGAGTGGGGGAAGAGGAGTGGCAGACCAAGGGCAGATAGAGAGGGAGGGAGAGAGAGAGACAGAAAGAGAGAGACCCTTTTGACATTTAAAATGAAGATAACACTGCATATATCCTTTTTTTACCTTTGTGTGTATGTAATTTTATTCTCTTAAAGCATTCTCTTGGTGATCATTGTTTTAATAGTACGGATATTCTCAAGAGTCATATTTTTACTTTTATTTTTAATGTGTATATATACATATACACACACACACACACACACAAACACACACACACACCTATAATAAAGGTAAAAAAGGATATATGCAGTGTTATCTTCATTTTAGATATCAAAAGGATTTTGCGGCTCCCAGTGTTTTGTTTTTGGTGGGAAACCGGTCCAAGTGGCTCTTTGAGTGTTTTGGGTTGCCTACCCCTGGACTAGGGGTAAAAACAAGGAGCAGTGGGGCCTTGGGCTGGGGAATGATGAAGACTCAGAAGATAAGAGAATTTTAGAAGGGAAGCTGTAGAACAGGGGTTCTCAACCTTGGCAACTTTAAGACTTGTGGACTTCAACTCTCAGAATTCCTCAGCCAGCAAAGCTGGCTGAGGAATTCTGGGAGTTGAAGTCCACAAGTCTTAAAGTTGCCAAGGTTGAGAACCCCTGCTGTAGAAGAATGAAATTCTGCCAATGTATCGGTGTAAAGGATTTCTGAAGGACAGGAGAAGAGCAGCTAGAAAGTCAAGGGTCAAATAAGAAGGACCTGAGCCCAAGCCAAGAAAGTAACTTGAGAAAATGTCTCAGACTAGCCCCTCCCTAGTTCACATGAACATAAAGGGAGGGAGAAGAGAAGCACATTCAGATTAGAAAGGTTCTATTATTATAACAAATACAGTAAAAATAGTCTGGACCTATAGGGCATTGTTTTTTTTTAAATCTGATCTGCCTTGTTGGACTGACAATCTGGTTGTGGCCCAGATCCAAATCAGGGCTAATGTATAAGTAAAGAAAGATGTGAAGTGCTATACAGGTTGCCCTGGGTCAGTTAAAATGAAGGCAGATAATTAGACACAGATCAAATATTTGACTTAAAATGTATTTAAAGTATAACTCACTTAGTCTTGAAACAATACCAGATGTTTCAAATTTGGAAATGAAACATTCCATTTTCCCTCTTTTTAATAATCAAGGTATTTCAGAAGCACAATCTCCACATTTCCAATCTTTTTGTCAGGCCCAAAAAACGAAGAACAACATGTGGTTAATTTCTGGGTAGGGTTTTTTTTTTTGTTGTTTATCTGCAGACAGAATCTTGACAGACTAAAGCAACTATCTGCAATAACTACCATGTTTTTCCAAAAGTAAGATCCTGTCTTACTTTCTTTTGGGCTCTGAAATAAGCACTAGGTTTTACTATCGGGGAGGGCTTAGTTTTTGCTGGTACCTGTACCAGTAGGCCGCGAGCGTGCGGAGGTGGGGCGGGACCTGTACATGTGGTGGAGAAGCAACACGGCGGCGAGAGTGTGGTGGCAGACCAGTACAGCCGTAGTGGTGGGCTGTGATAAGGGCGCTGAGCCTGGCACGGGGTGAGTTGGCCAAGATCCAGAGTGCCACCCCGCCACTGGCTTGCCAGGGCCCTTCGCCAGCAGCCACCGATAGAACTGTGCTGGTCACGTCTCCGCCTTTGGGCTGCTTGAGCACCAGCCTGCATGCCTAAGTGCTGCAGGCGCCGGGCTAAGGGCTGAACCTGGCACCCTTCAGGCCCTGGCGTGCGCTGCAGCTCTCATGCCGGCTGGGCGCTTTTGGCCTCTACCAGCTGCTCCCACTGGATTGCCTTCCGCCCAGCCGGTGGCTGCCGCCACCGCTATGAGGTGAAGCAAGGCAGGTGACAGGGAGTGGAGTTGCTTCCCTCCCCCTACCAGACACCTGCCGAAGCCACATAGGGTAAGGTTGCCACGCCCACCCCCGCCTAGATGCCCTTGCCTCCCCACACGTTTTTTTACTAACCTGATTCAGCTGCATTGTGCTTCTCCGTTCGCTT